GAGCTTGATGAAATGCGACATTGGTGGCAGAGCCAAGGAAGACATCGGCGCCTTCCTGGACATGATCCTCCCACCCTCAGGCGTCGAGCCCTTAGTCTCGATGATGTCTCTCGAGCTGAACGTCGCCGCTGTAGGCTTGAAACAAGTTTCGACGGCACGAACATCAAGTTCTGCGGGGCCGCCCCCTTTTTGCCGAGAAGGGCCGCGATCACCAACGCCGTCCTCTCGTAGGGTGTGGCTCAGCGCCACGCTGGTGTAGCACCGCCAGGATGGCTGGAAGACAAATTGACAACATGGCTCGAAGTGTTGAACCAAACAACGGCAATAGCTTCCTTGAAAGGCGAAACAGTCAGGGCCTGATGAACAGGGGCCAGTCTCCGTCGATCGCGGGACCGTGCGACACAATCCGGGATTGCATCTTCGCGAGGCACTTGCGCGACCAAAAGGTTAGCGCTGGCCTTCTGCCCGCGCGCCCTTCCACGCTTTCCGGTATCTCTGTTGCTCTCAACCCTCGCTTGCAGCCTGCCTCCGCCACGTGTGTAGACCAGCATCGCTCGTGCGCACTTGCCTGCGTAACTGACAAGACAGGATCAGACTTCACCGGTCCAACGTCTTGTTATGCCCTCGTTCCTTTCGGCACGCAATCACTTTCGTCGAGTAAGAAAGGGTGCGCCTCTTCCTCCTCCCCCTCCTCCTCCTTCCACTTCCCCTCTTCCTCCTCCTCCTCCTCCTCCTCCCCAGCTTCCTCCTGCCCGCTCAATTTTCGGTAGAGGGCTTGCGGAGACATCGGCACCTCTCTTGATTGAGGAGGGCGCAGAAGAAGGAGGAGGAGAAAACAGAGTTGAAGAATCAAGACGGCCAAGAACACGCAGGACATGAGGACTGTCAGTCGGAATCCTGAATTCGAGGCCCATCGTGCAGTCCTAGGACGAGCTTGCAGCATCATAGTGCCGCCTAGCCCAACCATGTGCGGGGAGAGGGAGCATATGAGGAGGATGAGGCAGAGAAGGAAGCGGCAGGATGATAGGGGGAGGACGATAGCTGAGTATCGTTTTACCGATCCCCATCCCCAGCGGTGTGGCCTGGGCCCCACTGGCCGATTTACCCCCCTAGATGGGGATATAGGTCGTTCACTTCAATTTTCGCGGGGTATATCCCCAACTGGGGTGGTAATTTGGTGGGGGTCTAGAAGGGGATGGGGATAGGGATGGGTTAAACGATACCCAATAGTGAAGCTGGACAACACAACCAGAAGTGCTGTAGAGGGCAACCGGTGGATGCGACCCTAGGGATGGCGATGGCCCGCCACCGTGCCCCGTGGCGCGTTGTGATGCGTGGCAGAATACCACGAGCTGCCTGGTAGGGTTCTTGCAATCTTCCCGGGTCCTACAAGCCTCGTCAAAAATAAACAGAAGGCTTCTGAATTCGGTGATTGTGGGGTCAGCGCTACTCCAATGCTGACGGACGCCTGTTGACTCGGACGCGGTGTTGCCCAAAAACCGACCCCACCCTCTCAGCATTGAAGTGCCCGAAAGCATCGTGCTCCAGGATTTCAGCTTCCAGTTCTGGATATGTTTGACGAGGCTTATAGGAAGACAAACATTGGCGGCGCGCACGAAGGGGTCGAGGGAGGGGGGAAGGCTTCTTAGAAGAAGGCTGCTTCTTAGGAGGCGCCAGCCTTACATCTATAGAGAAGGACCGCGCCTTCTCAGAAGCAGGGGTGCTGCTAAGAAACCCTCCCCCCTCCCCCCACCCCCCTCTGCGCGCGGCTGACAAAAAGCTAACGCTACCGCTACTCCCCAGACCTCTCCCAGGGCGCATTCTGACCAGAATTTCGAAGCCAATCCAGCGATGACGACGAGGGCCTCCCAGGAGTAGAGGGCAGAACATCCACCCCGATACTAACCACCCCGACACGCGAGGCCTTTAGTAAACGCGCCCACTGAAGGAATCGAACAGGGCAGAGCTGTTTGGTAAACGCCCATGGCCGTTTAGTAAACGCCAATTGTCTGGTCCGGGTGGTTTTTCCTCTCTTGAAGGAGACCCCAACAGGCGAAACGAGAGGAGGGTCGGAGGTAAAAGGTTGAGATCGCAGTGGAACGGAGACCCCCAACCGGGAAATCGTTTCGTTTCGTTCGTGTCGTGCGTGCGGGCGAGGCGCAAAGCTGCGTGGGCGAGCGAGAGGAATGAACCCGCCGTTGCTAGGGCGGAGTCAAGACAAATGATTCTCCTCCGTCCAACCGGCGGTGGCTTGAGCGGTGTCCTGCGGAGTCCCGTGGTGTCCGCCGTTCCTAGGGCGAAGTCAAGACAAATGTTTCTCCTCCGTCCGTCCGGCGGTGGCTCGAGCGGTGCCCCGAGGTGTCCCGTGGTGTCCAGTAGTGTCCGCCGTTGCTAGGACGGAGTCAAAACAAATGATTCTCCTCCGTCCGTCCGGCGGTGGCTTGAGCGGTGTCCCGCGGTGTCCGGCGTTGCTAGGGCGAAGTCAAGACAAATGATTCTCCTCCGTCTAACCGGCGGTGGCTTGAGCGGTGTCCCGTGGTGTCCGCCGTTCCTAGGGCGAAGTCAAGACAAATGTTTCTCCTCCGTCCGTCCGGCGGTGGCTTGAGCGGTGTCCCGCGGTGCCCCGTGGTGTCCCGTAGTTTCCGCCGTTGCTAAGGCGAAATCAAGACAAATGATTCTCCTCCGTCCGTCCGGCGGTGGCTTGAGCGGTGTCCCGAGATGTCCCGTGGTGTCCCGTGGTGTCTTCCGTTGCTAGGGCGGAGTCAAGACAAATGATTTTCCTCCGTCCGTCCGGCGGTGGCTTGAGCGGTGTCCTGCGGAGTCCCACGGTGTCCCGTGGTGTCCGCCGTTGCTAGGGCGAAATCAAGACAAATGTTTCTCCTCCGTCCGTCCGGCGGTGGCTCGAGCGGTGTCCCGAGGTGTCCCGTGGTGTCCGATGGTGTCCGCCGTGGCTAAGGGCGAAGTCAAGACAAATGATTCTCCCCCGCCCGCCCGTCCGTCCGTCCGTCCGGCGGTGACTCTGTGTCCCGTGGTGTCCCGTGGTGTCCCGTTGAGTGAGATCGATAATGAGATCGTTAAAAAGATCGATAATGAGATCGAGAGGTGTCCCGCGGTGTCCCGTGGTGTCCCGTGGTGTTCCGTTGAGTGAGATCGATAGTGAGATCGATCGAGTCAGATGATGGTTCTCCCCATCTCCCGCCCCCACAACCTCCTTATCACCCTAGGGGTGGTCGTATAGGTAGAGGTCTGGGTACCTTTTCCTCCTCTGAGGTCCCCCACTCTCAACACACCCACCGGCCCCCCGTTACCTCGCAGAAGCGATGGGTCCGCGCTTCCGGGGCCGCGATCCGCCGTACCACTCTGCGGGCCCCGCACTCCCGAAGTCACGGTCCTTGCGACAGATGTGGCCGCGCGCTCCGGGAGCTGAGAGCCCTTCTTGAAACCTGTTCCGCGCCCTCGAGGCAACGATGCTCCATCAATCAAAACTGTGGATCCGCGCTCCCACGTCTCCAAGACGGCCGAGGCAGGCAACAGTGGCCGCCAAGATGGCCCACGATGCCTTCAGGACGGCGCAGAATGGGCCCAAGACGGCCCAAGATGGCCTCAAGACGGCCCAAGAAGAGCTACAACAACAGCAGGCCCACGAGTAGGACTCAAAGAAATCAGAATCATTGTCTTTTCTGCGGTCTTTCAAGCATTGTAGCGTCTTCGCCTTGTTGTGAAATTCCTGACCGCCAGGCGGCCCTAGAGGCCTCCCATATGGCCACAAGGCGGCCAAAGAGGGTCCCCTAATGGGGCAGCAGTCCTCCAAGATGCCCCCGAGACAGCCCAAGGGGGGGGGCCCTAGACGGCCCAGAACGGCCCCCGAGGGAACCAAGCAGGCCCGAAAAGGCCCATGCAGGGACCCCGCGACGGCCTTGGAGAGCCACTCGACGGCCCGAGACGGCCCCATGACGGTCGCAAGAGACCTCCCAGACGACGGAGCCAAGCCCAAGGCGACCCAACAGAGTCCCAAGGCGGCCCAAGAGGGCTCCAAGCCAACCCACGAAGGCTCGAATGAACCCCCTAGATTGCCCCAAAGTACAAAGGAATAAACCAAGAGAGCTCTTCAAGAAAAGAAGACGACAATATGACAGGTGACGATACTCGTCCTTTTCCTCTTGCACCTGCTCCCCCCCTTCATCATGATGATGATCGTCATCAGCGTCGTCGTCGTCATCATCAACATCATCATCATCATCATCATCATCATCATCATCATCATCATCATCATCATCATCATCACCATCACCATCACCATCACCATCACCATCATCTCCATCATCTCCATCATCTCAATCATCATCCAGTCATCACCACCTTCGTTGTCAGCAGCAGCAGCACCACCATCATCATCAACATCAGCAGCATCATCCTCACCATCACCATCACCAACACCATCATCATCATCATCATCATCAGCAGAATCTCCATAGTAATCATCAGCATCATCATAACCATCATCAGCATCAGCAGCATCATCATCACTATCAGTCTCATCATCAGCATCAGCATCAGCATAATCATCAGCATCAGCATCAGCATCACTATCATCATCATCAGCATCAGCATCATCAACAACAACATCACCAACACCACCATCATCATCATCAGCTTCATCATCAACATCATCATCACACCGCACTCGTTCACTACATTGCTCGACCTCCTTCGTTTCCTCCTCCTCCTCCGAACCCTTCTCCCGTCCTCCACCAATTCATTCATCATCCTGGTCCGCCCAAGACGACATCAACAAATCCAATATAAACTCGAGACGGACCAAACATGACCTGCGACGGCGTCCTGACCTCAATTCAAACCGTCAACGCACACTGAACCTGTAACGCCGCATGGTTCACACCTTACAGCCTCCTGTCGCTCCTCAAACGGTCGCCCCCGAGAGCACTGGGCAGGCACGGTGGCGGGAAATACCACAAGCAGCTAGATGAAACGGAAAACGCCTGGGTCGAAGTGAACTGGTAGTACCTGTTGCCGTCACGGTGCCTGGAAGAACTGGTTTCTCGAAACAGGCTGGAAGGGGCCCAGCCGGTGCTCCTCCTTCTCCTCCTCCTCGTCACCATCATCATCATCATCATCATCATCATCATCATCATCATCATCATCATCATCATCCTTCTCCTCCTCCTCCTCCTCCATGTCCGCCTCCTCCTGAATTCCTTTCCCTTATCAAAAACTCCTCCCTGTCGCACCCCAAGGCCATTCGAAAAGGTGGGCTGGGCGTTTCGCCGGAGACTTCGCCGCAACGTATGATCTCAAGCTTCAGAATTGGCAACAGTTTCACATGTGGAGGGCGGGCCGCTTCCAAAATGTGGCTCTCGCCTTAGCGCCGCGCATACTCGTCGTAAACATGCGTAAACAAGTCACGGTCTCAGGGCGGGTGCTTTCCAACATGTGGCTCTCGCGTGAGCGTCGCGCACACTCGTCTACAACATTTGCAACCGTTTCAGGGCCCGAGGGCGGGCCGTTTTCAAAATGCGGCTCTCGCCTCAGCGCCGCGCACGCTCGTCTTGAACATCTGCAATACTTGAACGGATTGAGGGCGGTTCCTTTTCAAAATGTGGCTCTCGCCTTATCGCCGCACACATTCGATTGAATACACTCCAAGAGTCTCACATTTTCGCATGGTTAATGTACCAGAAACTACGTTTTGGAACGATTCAGGATTGCCAAGGCGCATCGGTTACGTGGATTCGCGGTGTTGAAGTCCCAGGAATTGTGTTTTGGCACGATTCTGAATCGCCAAGACGCAACAGTCAGGTTGATTCGTGGCATTGGAGTCCCGAACATGGTGTTCTGGCACGCTTCAGGATCTTCAAACGGTTGTCCTCCAGTGGGGCACTTCCAAGAATGGGAGTGCACCTGGCCAGCGCAGGTCCCTGGAGACCCCCTGAGGCCTCCAGAGAATCACGCTGAATTTAGGTCGGACCTGTCCGCCTACAGGGGGATTTGGACGAACAACGACAAAAACATGTAAAACACATACTCAACAGATGCCCCCGAATGCTTGCAAAATAGTCCCCCGACTACATTTTGTCTATTTTTAATCTTCCCCCACTAGAGGGGCAGGCCCGACTTAACGCTGGATGCCCGGCGAAAGGCCACGGACGCCCCTCTTGCAGCAACAGGCCCTGCACGGCCTCGCGCAGTCCACGGCGGGGCCGACGCTGCGCCGCCGCCATCGGAGGCCCGGCCCCCCCCCCCCTCTGCCGGGCGCCGGGAGCATCCGATGGGGCCCTTGCAGACAGGCCGTCCAGGGACACCACGGCGGGAGGCCACGACGGGCCACCGATTTCGTGGGCCCCCAGCGTCGCTCACCGGGCGCTCGAGGAGCTGCGTGGAAGCCCTGCAGGGACAGACAACCAAAACGTCGAACCTCCTGCCTCATCCGCCTCCACCCTCCGTCCGCCCTCCTCCCCCCTTCTGGCAGGGCGTCGCGTAGTCCCCAACGCGTCCGGAGCTGACAGAGAGGAGCGAGAGAGAGAGAGAGAGCGAGAAAGAGTAAGCGAGAAAGAGAGAGAGAGAGAGAGAGAGCCACCAGCGCTCGGACGGGACCTGGCGATCGCGCACGTACGCAGCCAGTGGGCCAAATTTGAGACCAACGCTTCCTCCTCCTCCTCTTCCTCCTCCTCCTCCTCCTTGCCCTCGTCCTCTCCAGGGGCGGGGGCAGAAGGACGAAGAGGGGCCAAAAGAGCCCGGGCAGAACGCAAGCCTTCGATGACGCAAGCAAGATCGCGCCAGAATAATACTCAAACATATTCGGCCGTCAGCGAACGGCCCGGCATGACATCTGGGCTCCGGGGAAGAAATCGTCCAGGAATTGGCGGCTCGAACAATCACGAGCCGTCGGAGGTCTTGAGGGATGAAGACGAGGAGAGGAAAGGGAAGAACACCAGGAGGGAGAAGCATAACCAGAATGAAGAGGAGCACGGCTGTGGTGACGGGGATCAAGGGGATGATGGAGATAAAGATAATCACAAAGATCGTGATTGTGTGTGTGTGTCGGGCTGCTTCGGTCAAGCTGCCTGCCTGCTGATCTGCCCCTCTTTCGGAGTGCCGTTGCGCTTTCGCACTGCGCCCTTCTTGCCTTTCGCACTGCACACCTCCACTTGCTGCCACTCCTCCTCTCTCCCTCACCACCTCTCCCCACGGCCCATCGCGAGTGACTCGGCCGATCTCCAATGGGCGGATCCCTGGTCCCTACGCTGCGTGATCTGGCCTACCTGCGTGCGTTCTCCCGCTTGACTGCCTACGCCGCGCCGCCGCGTGCGTGGCCGCGACGCCAAGAAGTCTGTCTCGAGAGAAGGAGAAGGAATGACTGACGCGGGAGGAGCCAAGCAGGGAAACTCACAGGCGGACACGGAGGAGCGAGGGAGGGCGGAGGCGGAAACCAGGAGCGAGAGAGGGGGAAGAGCGGAGGAGGATGAGGAAGAGGAGGAGGGGGGGCGGAGGAGGGGGAGGGGGAAGGGCAAGCTAGGTGCACTCGCGTCATATCTGACGTCCTACCCCTCCCTCCCATCCCTTACCATGGCGCTGATTTTCTCTATCCGCGGACGCGTGTCGTAGCGGACCTGTGGCTCCGCGCGCGCGTGCGTAGTGGGTGGTGGTGCACGTGCGTGCGTGCGTGCGTGTGTGCGTGGTTGTCGTGGTGGTGGTGGTGGTGGTAGTGGTGGTGGTGGTGTGGTGATGGTGGTGGTGGTGCTGGTGGTGGTTGGTGGTGCTGGTGCTGGTGGTGTGGTGGTGTGGTGGTGGTGGGTGGTGGGTGGTGTGTGGTGGGTGGTGGGTGGTGGTGGTGGTGCGGCGCGGTGGTGGCGGGCGGATGGGCGCGCGAGAAAGAGGCCCGCGCTGGGGCGAGAACGCCATCCTGAACGACGGAGGCCAAACACCGATCCGAAAATGAGGCCCACGCTGCAGCGGGAGCACGATTCGGAACGATTCGGGAGCAGAAATGAGGCCGGCGCCTCAACGAGAGCAGCATTTTGGAAAAAAATGACGCAGGCGCCTCAGCGAGTCGTTTCCCAGGATTTCCCGGGAATCCTGTGTAAAAAAACAGTACGCGGAGGGTGCGCGGCCATCACCCGGACGCCATCAGGGGAAGAGGGAGAGTATTTTCATATTGAGTAATTGTGGAGGGGGAGGGGGAGGGGGAGGAGGAGGAGGAGGAGGAGGAGGAGGAGGAGGAGGAGGAGGAGGAGGAGAAGGAGGAGGAGCAGGAGGAGGGGGATAAAGGAGGAGGGAGGGAGGGAAGGGCGCAAGGAGAACGGAAAAGGAAGCAGAGGGGAGGAGCTGACGGTACTGAGGTGGGTGGGCGGTGAGGATGACGACCTTTCGAATTGAGCCCCCGCACGGCCGTGGGACGCGGGAGAGGACGTCGAGGAGGAAAGGGGGGGGGTCCGGGAGAAGGCGGCGGAATGTAGTGTTCCAACCATCCTGTGGGTGTTGGGTCCTCGTTTTGAAGAGACAGCAACCACCCCGCGTCCCTCCCATCTCATCCTCCTCGCGCTCCTCCTCCCTCGTCCAATCCTTGCCCCTGCCCTCCGCACCAGCCAAACAAATCGGTACACCCTCACACGCTTCGTGACCCCATGGGGAGTTCCACCCATGAAAATACTCACAATTGCGTTACTCACTATTGACCGAAAGCCCCGGTGGCTGCGCTCGTGGCCCCACAAGGAGCTCCACCGAAGACCCCAGTGGCTGCGCTCGCATGCGCCCGCGGCACCAATTTCGGCACACACCTCACACGTTTTGTGGTCCCATAGGGAGCTGCACCGAAGGCCCCAGTGGCTCCGCTCGCAAGCGCCCGCCGCGCCCATTTCAGCACATCCTCACACGTTTTGTGGCCCCATAGGGAGCTCCTCCGGAGACCCTAGTGGCTGCGCCTATTTCCACATACCCCTCCAACGCTTCGTGGTCCCATAGGGAGCTCGGCCGAAGGCTCCAATGGCTGCGCTCGCATGCGCCCGCCGCGCCCATGTCGGCACATCCCTCACACGTTTCGTGGCCCCATAGGGAGCTCCACCGAAGACCCCAGTGGCTGCGCTCGCCTGCGCCCGCCGCACCCATTTCGGCACACCCCTCGCACGTTTCGTGGCCCCATAGGGTGCTCCACCGAAGGCCCAAACGGCGGTGCTCGCATGCGCCCGCCGCGCCCATTTCGGCACACACCTCGCACGTTTCGGCGCCCCATGGAGAGCGCCGCCGAAGGCACCAATGCCTGCGTTCGCATGCGTCCGCCCCGACCATCTCCGACTCACGCCTCACACGTTTGGTGGCCCCATAGGGAGCGCCACCGAATACTCCAGCGGCGGTTTTCGCATACGTCCGCACCGCGCATTTCGGCACACCCCTCACACGTCTCGCAGTCCCGTAGGGAACTCTCTCGAAGGCCCCCATGGCTGCGCTTGCATGCGCCCGCCCCAACCATTTCGGCATACCCCTCACACGTTTCGTGGCCCCGTCGGGAACTCTACCGAAGACCCCAGTGGCTGCGTTGGCATGCGCTTTCCACACCCATTTCGGTACATTCCTCAACCACGTTTCGTGGCCCCATACGCAGGATTGCGTAGCTCAAAAATGCACATGGTTAGGTCCTTCGCCAGGCTCATTTTTGGTGTCACCCCTTCCCCTGCCAACATTTCCCGCGTCCACTCCCAGTCCACCCCTTCCCTCTCCTGACCACTGCTCACTAGATGACTATGGCGAGAGAAGAGAAATACGAAACTGCACAAACGATACTTGCTGATTCCATCGCGTGATCTCAAATAATGGTGAACCTCCGAATCTTGCACTTCCATTGTGCAACTGCTTACCCAGTGCCGGCGTCTGTCGCTTCTGCTGCCCCTGAGGGAACAATGTCAAAGAAGGCGGTCCTCGTCATCCGTTGTGTGTCGGCGAGGGACAGCAACGCCGAAGCCACGGCATCAGGGCAATGCGCCGCCTCTGTGAGAGTGGCGATGCTAACGTGCGCCGGCACGTATACAGCGTCGTCGAAACTGTCAACGTATAATCTCAGTCTCTCCGCAGGGACGCATGCATCCTGACCGCCGTCCCGAAGCAACTCCGCTGCCACCGCCAAGATGCTGAACAATGGCCACCCGGACTCCACGACCTCTCCGGCGCGGCGGGACCGCCCCCTTCTTTAACGACCCCCATACCTCGAGGGAGCCGATGTCTTGCTTTTTGTTAGCGCGTGGGAGCGCAGGCCCGCATGCCAACGCGCAGTCATAGACTGCAGGCGGAGTACCTTGGCTTGAATCCACTTAGACCGAGGGTGGAGTAACGAGGCCACGGACTGCGTGAACGGTGTGTCGAAACGGGAGCGGCCCCCACAGAGGCGGTAGGTGGAGCTCCCCATGGGCGACGATCTGCGTGAGAGGCGTGACGGAAAGCATGCAGCAGTCGGCGCAACAGCAGCAGCAGCAGCGGCAGGAAGGCGAGGATGGGGAGAGGAGCAGCAGGAAGGAGACGCACGGCACTGCGGATGCAAAGCCAGGTCCCGACGACATCCCACTAGTCCTTTGGGGCGTGAGACATTTAGGGCGTTTCCGCTTCGTGGAGGGGTTTACCCTTCCCCCGAATTACCCCCTCCCCGTGGACGTGGAGGAGGGGTGGGGGGGGAGGTCGCGGGTCGTTGGAGCGTCCAAGATGGCAACGACGAAAATGAACCCATCATTGTTTTTAGATCAGTGTTGGGCCTACTTTGACCTCCTGGGCGGGGGCGCCAATGACCCCACCCCCTTGTTCGACCGACCTCCCTCAATATAGCCCCAAGAAACGTTCCCGAGGCACCCAAGACGCTCCAAGAGGCCCCCAGAAGCGCCAAGAGGTCCCTAAGACGCCCCGATATGACTCCAAGAAACTTTCAAGGGTCATCCGAAGAGACGCCGAAAAGGCATCCAAGAGGCCTCTGGCCGTTCTGCTCGTCGTCCTCCTCCTCCTCCTCCTCCTCCTCCTCTGCCGCCTCTTCTCTGCTCCCTTTCCTGCTCCCCCGCCTCTTCTCCCTCCCCCTCCCCCATCCTTCTCTTCCTCCTCTTCCTCCTCTTCCTCATCTCCTCCTCATCTCCTCCTCATCTCCTCCTCATCTCCTCCTCCTCCTCCTCCTTCTCCTCCCCCTCCCCAATCCTCCATACTCCTCCATCCTCCCCCTCAATGGCGGTTTCCTTTGCCCGCTGTTCCACTGAATGCGCACATCCTTAATGAGGGCAACTCGCCTGGACATCGTTTCTGGATGGGCTGGTGAGGTCACGCGAAGCCTGCAGAATACTAGAGCTGATGGGAAAACGGATGCCGACATCGTGAACACACTTCAGTCGCGCGTCGACTCCCTGAAGAGTCAGCAAGCCTTGTCATCCCCGACGGCGACCCAGCACTTCGCCCTCTTCCAACACGTGACCAGGCAGATCGTCAAAGGGAGGTCCGGGGGGCGAGCAGGAAGGCTGGGCCTGCAAGGCAAAAGGCAGAAGAGGAGAAGGGGGTGTCCAGACCCCTGGCGCCCTGCGCAAATCGGGACGCCTCGTGCTTCTGGGCTTGGGCCTCGGGACGTCCGACTCGGGGCTCCACGAATCACGACAGTAATCCTACGGCGCGAAGCACGTGCGAGTGCTGGGCCAGAAAATTCCCGAGCCCAGTTTTCGCAAGTATGTACTTCAGCCTGGTCCGAGAAAAGCCCCAGAGGCGCAAACTGACAAGCATGGAGCGAATCATGCATGGGCTCCAGCACTTCCGACATCGACGACTCTCGACACCATCCCAAACTTGTGGCGCTCCGCGCGGATTTCCTGGATCTGCGCAAAAAAAACCCTCCCTGGCACTCGGAGCGCGCCAGGGGCGGCGCCGGAGGCGCCGCCGGGGGGGCCCAGGCGCGGATTCAAGGAATCTGCGCGAAGTGCCAAAAATTTATGTTTATAGTCAACCCGTATGATAAGGATGCACGGTAAGGATGCAAGGGCCTTGGAAGGCCATGCCGACGCTTTGCGAGCGGGGCGCGGCCAGCAAAGCTGCCAAGGATGGGCCGAAGGGGAAGGATGCAAGGGCAACCTTGGAGAATCGCTCATCCTTACTATGCGGGTTGACTGTATGGCGTTTTCCTTTTTTGATCATCGGGGATCTCTGAGACTTGGCGGTTCTGAAAAATGCATCGGGCGACGCGGCCGTTCCAAAGCGCCCCAGGAAACTACGGGAGCGTTGCCGAACGCTCTGGGGGGCGACGATTCCCGGTCCTGGCCCCGCCTGATGTCTTGTCGCGAGTGTCCGACGCCCGTCTCGGGGCTTACCAGAATGCCCTTGGAAGTCGATACCGCGGCGCGATGCGGGACGTGCGCGCGCGCGCCTGCGTTAGGATGCAACATGGGGCGCGTCATCGTACCACTCGCATGGGTGTCAAGATGCGCCGGGCAAGTCTTTTCCCAACTAGCAGAGTTGAGGCAGCAAAAGTGGGGCAATGGCGCACCATTGGGAAGACCATTACGGCCCCCCCGCCCAAACCCCGTGCGAAGCCCCGGGACCCAGGGGAGGCCAACCCCAACAAGAACTCCGCGCGGACCTCCGCGAGTGGATGCTCATGCTGTCCTTTCTCCTTCGACCCCAACGGGATTGGCGGCGCGCCTGGGGTGGAAATGAGAAGGGGCGGGCCTTTTCAGAAGGCTCGGAAGTCCCCGGGCCTCCTGAGAAGTTTTCGGAGCCTTCCCCGAAAACAGAAGCACCCTCTGAGGGCGCGAGGGCTTCTGAGGAGCCCCGCAGCCTTCTGAGAAGGCCTTCTCCTTCTCGCCCTCCCCCCTCGCTCGCCGCCGACTTTCTCCTTCGACCCCCCACGGGACCTCCGACCACGCGTGCTCGAGGTCCCAGAACCACGTGTACGTCTCTCGGACCACGGCGCCCCCCACCGCCCCGGCCCAAGTGCCCTCGGGCGGCCCGGAGGAGCGGCTCCGGGCCGGGCGGTGCGCGGACGGCAGCGGGGCTCTTCCCTCCTGCCTGCTGCACAGTCCGAAGACGATGGGACGCACAGAGACATACTAATGCTATATGTCCTCCTTGGAGGTGCGCGTCCGACCCGAACATCTAGTATACTCATCCTGTAGTAGATCGTTCCCGAGCGGTGTGGCCAGAAAGCGTCCGCCACGACGCATATAATATAAGATTTCTCGGTGTGCGCGTCGCCCCTGGGGGGGTGACGCACATGTAGTATAAGTATGTTGGGGTGTCGCCGATACTACTCTCCTCTCTCCCATGGTGGCGTCCAAGAAATGGCCGGCCCCCCTCCGCGTACGGGTTTTTTACACACGAGATTCCAGGGAAACGGGTTTCCGCCTCTTTTGTTGTTCAAAATGCTGGTCTCTCTGAAGCGCTGGCCTCATTTTCGGGCTACCGCTCGTTCCGGATCGTGCTCCCGCTGTGCTGCGCTGGCCTCATTTCCGCGCTTCCGCTCGCTCCGAATCGTGCTCCCGCTGCAGCGCTGGCGTCCTTATTTCCAGTGCCATGCCACGGCATGGTTTTCGGTCCTTCCAAATAGGCCCCAACATGTAGAAAATGGCCTCCCGAAGAGACCATCGGACGTGATTACACACTCGGTGCCATGCTGTCGTGCTACGCGTTGATATTCGACGCCATGCTATGCCATGCTACGACATCCGATCGTGCGACTAAGGGGATCTACGCCATGGTCAGGGAGGAGGAGGAGGAGGAGGAGGAGGAGGAGGAGGCGGAGGAGGAGAAGGAGGACGAGGAAGAGGAGGGGGAGCAGGAGGAGGAGGAGGAGGAGGAGGTGGAGGTGGAGCAGGAGGAGCAGGAGGAGGAGAAGGAAGGATGGGTAGGACGTCAGATATGACGCGGTCGCACCTAGCTTCCCACCGCCCGCCCCGCTCTTCGGCGGCTCTCAAGGGTGTGTCTTGCCAAAAGGGGGTCGTTTGCAGTCGGCACCCTGGGGGGCGAACGGAGGACCTCGACGGAGTTCTCCGACGCGCCCCGAGGCGGCCCGACGAGGGGAGGGCAGCACGGTGCCCCCCCACCCAACGCCCAAACCGAAGCAGAGCGCAAACCACACTTAGGTGGCCAGGCATGGGAGCCTCAGGTAGTCGCACACGCGCCTAGTCAGCGAGACTTAGTAGCCCCCACTAAACCCACTAGATCCCGCTAGATCCCACATGCGACCCCACTCAATCCCGCTAGAGCTCACGAATACCCCAGAGGAGCGCCCACCGCGTCCCCACGAAAATTGTCAGACCCTCACTCGGAACAACTTTTTGGGGCCAACGGAGACTCCCATGTCGGCTACACGTAAGAGTGACCTTTGGTGCGCGGCTTTGGGGGGGCCGCGGGGAGGCCAAATCCAGGCGCGCTAGCCGGTGCTACCGCTTCGCGTTCAGCCATCTGAGGCCCCACCTGTGGCCGCACCAAAGGTCACTCCGGCGAGAGGTCACTCTTACGTCTAGTCGACCACGGCTGGCCACCTGACCACACCCCGGCGCAGCCACACCCTTTGCCGCCGCCGAGCTCTGCTCGACACTGGGCCGCCCCGGGCATCCGCCACTGGGCGGGCGCGCCGTGGCGATCGGACCGCCGCGGCCCTGCCCTCCGAGGGGGGCCGGGGGCCATGGGGTCCGCAGCCGAAGGGGGGGAGGGCCCGCCCACACTGGGCGGCATGCACAGGAAGGGGTTACAGCTATCGGCCGGACCTAAGGAACGAGAAATAAGGAACGAAGCCCCTTTGATTTCCAAGGAACAATGCATAAGGAACGATAAATAATGAAAACCGCATACGGAACGATGGATAACGCATGCAAGCCTAGGGACCGACCGATCCCCTTTTGAAAAGCAAGTGTTCCTTACTCAAGCCGCTCACTGTAGGGAGGAGGGGAAGGCCTCGTAGAAGGAGGCTGCTCTTCAGAAGGCGCGGGCCTTTTACATCTACAGACCAGGCCCGCGCCTTCTCAGAAATCGGGGTGC